TTGTCGCGACCGCTTACGTCTCAGGGCGAGGATCTTGTTTTTTTCTTTATAATTTTTTTTTCATATGGGGCCGTTGTTGAACCTCGAACTGATCCGACCCGGTGGAAACCGCGGCCGCCGCGGCCCCCTGCACGTCGGCGTCAAAGTGCCGGGCCTTTTGATTGGCCAGCCAACGGGGCTGCTGTCCCCTTTCATGTAAGGGCGTTGCCCGCCACCGTTTTTAGATTTTTTTATTACTTTCATATCCACTTTTTTTCCCTTTCTCATTTTCCCTTTGCCACACACTTTTCTGGACGCGTTACGAATCGTGTGACGGCGGGCCGCGGCGCGGCGGTCACTTTGGTCGGTCTCACGGTCCGGGCGTGTCCTCCCTACCTTCCCGAACGCGCCCGGCCCGTCCGTCAGACACACCGCGGACACACCAACACCACGGACACACGTGCCGTTCGGATGCAATATCCTGCCTACAGTGGCGCCTCTGTCCGCCTGGTTACGCCGCTGTCAGTTGCAGAGAGAGAGAAAGAGAGAAGAGAAAAAGCACCATTTTTAAAACAAGAATCAGGGGGGAAAAAAGCATTCTTTGCGTTCTGACACGGGGTGGATCAGTTGACCTCTCTCTCAGTTGACCCACCCGTATTTCAGTTCCAGAAATATTGATATTCCTCGGGAAAATCCTAGTTTTGGCCGTTTTAATTGACTTACCTCAGGTGATCGGCCGAAATAAGTAATAAATAACAAATGTTGGGTAGAAATAGAGCAGAAATGTCCGAATTGTTATCCACCCTTCTCCGGCTACTTTTCCTTCCCATTATTAGTATTATCGGCTCTTTTGTGCGTGTTTTTTTTTCCTCTTTCATTCCAGAGCTTTTCGTTGCCGGACTCCATATAACACGTAGAGCACGAGGCCAATTTTGGTTAGAGCGTGATCCCCGTCCGCGCACGCGATGTCTGTCGGCGGGACACGTCAAGCCCAATGCACGCCCGGCACCCACCCGCGGGTACTGGTTCCTACCTGGGTGCCTGGGTACGCTGGGTACCTACCCGCACGGCGTCGGTACCGTCGGTACCGTCATGCAGGTACTGCACTGCGCCTCGCCACGCCCTCCCTCGGCTTTGACATGCTAATAGGCATCGGGTACCAAAGAGAGCAAGAGCCTGACCACTGTTGTGAGGCTGGAGTCTCTCTCTCTCTCTCTCTCTCTCTCTCTCTCTCTCTCTCTCTCTCTCTCTCTCTCTCTCTCTCTCTCTCTCTCTCCAGTCCCTTCGGCCATTCTTCACCGGCGTGTGGGGCAGTTCGTGGGCGGAGTTCTCTCCGCTGCAGACTGCAAGGAAGTCGCCCCGGAAAAGGGGCCCGGGAGAAACTCCAAGCCCCCCGTGTGTGTCTATTTGCCATATCTGTGCGGCCGTTTCCAAAACCTTCCGGCGTGACGACTGCTTTTTGCCGTTTTTGAACCGAGACGCGACCATTCGTCTCCGTAACGTGGACGAGTCTGCACAAGGGCGGCGCACGGCCGCACGGGTGGGCTCGATATCGGCGAGCCTCTGATGGACTGGATAACCGCCGCTGTTATATTGTTTGATGGCTGGCCGGAGGGGGGGGGGACACATTTTCGTACGTTCTACATCGGAAAGGCCACGCGCTATCGAAGTAATTGGCTGTCCGACTCGTGCGTGTTATCTTAATGCTGTGTCCCCGACACGCCCAGTAGGACGCACTCACACACACACATACAGGTCCCTCACCGGCGGGCCGAGGACGCAGCGCGAGCAGGGGCTTCAGTTAGCTGTCCCCCAGAAGACACACATTATTTTTTGTTTTAAATTTTTTGAACGTGTGACTGAGACACGCGATGACGGGCCCGTTGTTTGGAGCACGGCGGAGCGATTCGCGAGGGAGGAAGTGGTGGGGGGTGCAAAACTCAGCTAGCCACGTACGTTGTAGCCCCTGGCGCTATTAATATTCATCGCCCATAATAAGGCGAGCGCGGGGCAGAGCAGAGCGGAGCAGAGGGCGGTAAGAGCGCGGCCCGGCTGGACCCGCGTATCTGGCCGCGCTCGGCCTCGTAGTTGCGGCGCTCGGCCTGTAGTTGGCCGCGCCAGCCCGGCCAGCCCGCGCCAAAACGGTCGGCCGCGTCTTCCCGCCCGTCGAGTAGGTCACGCGGCAGCTATGCCGACCGCGCCGCGCTGCCGCGCCGCGAAAAAAGGAGAAGCAGGAGGAGGAGCAGCAGGAGGAGGAGAAGCCAGGGGGCGTTCCTGGGCGCGCTGGCGCGCTGGCTGCATGATCGAGGATAATCATTGAGATCCGGCCAATGGGCAGTCAAAGCTCGCCTGCCCCGCCACGCCACGCCACGCCGGCGAACTCCCCGCGGGCTGCACGCCGCGCAGCGAGAGGGGCCGACCGAGAGGCCCCGAGAGGGGCGACTTGCATCGCATTGTTGGATTAATAAGAAAAAAGTTTCTATTTTTTTTTAAATATCATTTTTGTTTTTGTTTTTTAAGATGCAGCGTGGAGCTGAAGGTGCGCAAGGCACCGGGTTTTCATCGGGAACACCTCGCCGAGTGCCGAGTGCGTAGGTACTCGCTGAAGAAGTGCTCGGACTAAGTACCCCCTTGGCTCAGAGGGCTCGGCGTGCCCGGCTCGGCCCGGCTCGGCCCGGCCCGGCCAGCAGTGCCACCAATTACTGCAGCGAGCCGACATCGGTAAATAAGCGATAAAAAAGGAATCGGCCGGCAGCATGGCGGCAGCCAATGGGGACGCGGCTCGCGGCACCATCGCGGTGCCGCCACCACGGTGCCACCATGGCGGCGACGCCGGGCAGAGCGACGACGACGCCTTCCTGGTGGTGACGGTCACGCTAGTCGCCGCCTTGGTGCGCGTGCGCGGCGCGAAGGCGCGAAGGCGCGCGAAGGCTCCGTGCCAAAGTCCGATGTCACCGTCGTCAACACCTCCATTTCCCATTTGGAACGCCACCAGAGCGATTTCCAATATCGCCGACAAGCGGCGAAATGTGCGCGTCGCTCGCAGCCGCAGACTGCGTCGTCTTTTTTCTGCCTCTCGTTTTTATTCCGCCACCTCGCCCCCTCCTCCTCTCTCTCCCAGGGGTGTTCCGATGCGCTTTTTGCGGGCTGGCCGCACCTTTGCGGCCCTTTGCGGCGACTGCAGGAGCGAAAGGCCGCCGAAAGTGCCGGGCCGGGCCATACCGCACGGACGCACGGCCAGGGGACTGACTGATTCCTCCCGCCGTTCCGACGCTCTCCATCTCTCTCTCTCTCTCTCTCTCTCTCTCTCTCTCTCTCTCTCTCTCTCTCTCTCTCTCTCTCTCTCTCTCTCTCTCTCTCTCTCTCTCTCTCTCTCTCTCTCTCGCACCCTCACGAGACGACCCACGAGTGCGAGAGAGACAGAGCGACGACGTGGCGGCGGTCGGCAGGGCGTGCGCCCCGGCCGGTGCGGTCGTAACGTCGTAACGCACGCCCGGCTAAATGAAGGGCGAGTTACTGGTGCGCGCGGCAGGCGATAGCCCAGCACCGCAAACGGGGCCGGGATGACCTCCGCGGGGCGGTGCAGCGCCGGTGCCGACCGCATCGTTTCGTGAACGCACCCAGTTAGTCAGCAACGGTGCCGGACGCAGTCGAGCCCGCCGCCCCGGCCTGCGGCTTTTTGAACGGGTACGTTCCAGTACGTCCCGACAACGACGGGCCGACCGGACCGCGCGGCTCGCGGCTCCTGAAAAGCGAAATGACCGTGAAGGCGGCGGAGGCGACGGGACGTGGATGGACGTCCGGGCTGGCGGGGCTGGCCGACGTGGCCGCCCTGCCTGACACGTGCAGGGGGGCGTTCTCAACGTGTCCTCACTCCATCTTTGTTGCACTCGTGCGGTGTCTCGTATCGCAGTGAGAGAGACAGAGCGATAAAACAATCCTTCAAAATCAGGCGGCAGGGGCCTGTGCTTGCCGCGCGACGGAGGGGTGCGTTCGGAAAGGCTCGGCGCGCGCGAGGCGCGATTGCGCTGCGGTGCCTTCTCACCAGTCGAGGTGATGAGAAAGAGAGAGAGGATCGGACAGCGGCTTTTGGCTTTTTCCGCGGCGCGCGTCAGCCTGAAGCCTGTCAGTCTCGAGACGCGGCGGCGGCGCTGCCGGCCGGGAGTATTTCACGCGATGACCGGATTACCGAGATAGACAGAGACAGACAGAGAGAGACGCCCCAGCTTTGCCTGGCTTTGCCGGGCTTTGCCGCGGCCGCCGGGTAATGGAAGTCACGCAGTCTCGCTCGCGCGGCGTGCGCGGTGCGCGGCGTGCCGAGGTTGTCCCGGACACGGAGGGCGGCCACCTTCTCTGCCGCGTGAGGCTTTACGCCGCCCGCGAGGGAGGCAGCCCATTCAACACGGCGCTCGATGGGTTGCCTACCGCATGGGCGAACTGGTGGGCACAACCCCCCACCAGGCCAGTTCAATGGACTGCCCACCTCACTGGCGACGCATGCTGGCGGGCTTGTAAGTTGCCTACCCCACAGGAGCTCAGTGCAGCATGTCGAATGGGTTGCCTACCTTCCTGAAAGCTGTCGCCCATACGGGTCAGATGGGTTGTCTACCCGCAGGGCGCCTCGTGCTGCCCCTCGTGACCTGCGTTCTTGAGTCACAGCCCAGTGGCTAGAGCGGTGTGCATGCAGATGAAAATTGTGAAATTGGGTCGTCTACTTCATAGAGTCATAATCCAAAGCATTATGTTTTGTTTTTTTTTTGCTCTGCGAGGTTGGCAGCATTGGAGCTGGGCGACGACGATCCCGTAGGGCCCCCTGACAACTATTTCATGGTTTCATGGTCGAGCCTTTCTTATAAGATATGTTTGTGTTCTGTTCTGGTCTTATGGCTCGCCCAATCAAAAACAATTTTTTTTTAATTTTTTTCAATAACATGTATTGTAATTACACTATAAAAGAGGTGTACACATCAATTATTATAAACATCTGGAAACACTTTGAGACAACAAAGGACATGAGTGGAATTTATAAAATGGTACAAAACTGTGACCCATAGGACTAGCTTCAAATATCTTAACAAACGTGCCACATGTGAATGGCTAATCGAAAGAGTGTTTACTTACACATTCAGTCGTAATTAAATCATCATTTCCAATTAAATTTATATACTCTCAGATGACCCATAAACTTTTAATGATCCCCGCCCCATTATTTAGCCTAAGAGAACGTAGACTTTTGGGTATGTCTCACTGTGCCTTCTTTTTCCGTGCAGATTTTACTTTAGGTTTCTCTCCTCCAAAGAATGACGTCAAGACTTCTGACATTTCAGGCATGTCGTAGCGCGTAAGGCTGTTGAGGTGCTCCATTTCCTGGTGAGAAGTGGTAAGTTAATGCAAGAACTTTCCATCAAACTACGAAAAGAAAACATGCAGGTTAAGTTTACCTTTCTAGTTTCAGGGTCATTCATTACTTTTGGGAGGATCATGATGATCACCAGAGGAAGAACCATCATCAGAACCTGGAAGAAAGTTGAAAAAGATTCATGTCATGCAAAGAATGCAAGCAAGCTCAAAAGCACAACTGGCTTGAAAAACAAAAATTCAAAAATTCTGCTATATTGATTGTTTTTACCATAGGGCTGTACAAGAAATCTGTTGCTCTCCATTGTTCACGAACTTGGAAGTAGCGGTATCGAGTGACAGGAGTCATAGCAAGTGGATACACAACAGGCTCCACTGTTGATGTCTGAATGTAATTAACCTTCCGAGCTCTCAACTTTCCTTTCGAATTGATTTCAACTCGCACAGGCTCATAGGCATAGGATGGATTCACCACTTCAACTACATAAGAGCCAGTGGGAACATTGTGTATGATAAAACTGTTATCTCTCCTGTTACAAAAATAAATAAAAAGGGAATGAGTAAAATAGAGGGATAATAAAAATTACACTTTCAGAAGCGGCTTCAAGAACACAATGCAGGACACCTGATATACATGATAGATATAAACTTACTTTAAAATACCGACGAACTCTCCACCATTGGCTAAAATTCTTGTTTGAGAATACCACGAATTAGCACTTATAGGGCCATCAGGAGGAAAAACCCTTCCTTCTATAGTATAAACATCTTGGTTAGGTTCTAAATCTCTTTGAGCAAATGTCAAGCAGTGCAACAAATGTAAATTCAAAACAACACAGATGGCGTAAAAGAATTTCATTGTTCACACTCAGAATTCCAAGTTCGTGAAAAGCGAGAGAAAGAAAAACACACTTTCCGCAATGACAAGACAACTCAAAACTGCTCAAAACACAGCAGAAAACTTTGATGACCACTTTAACTAAGTTCACTCAATTTCTCATGGTGTGACGTACACGATTGGCAGGGGCACCAGTGTTTTAAAACCAAATTTCCCAAGTTTTATGGGAAAGTTTCAGTTACTAATCAAAAAGATCCTATTTTTTATAAAATTAGGGATGAGGACATTTTTATTCTGGTATACAATCAAAGTTTTTAAAAATTAAAGATTCCTCATTGTGGTTTTCAGAGAGACGAGACTCGGGTCAACTAGGGTGTGACCAGCCTGCAAAATGGCACTGCCTTGCACGAAAAAAACAGCCCTTCTTTATGTAATGGCCACTGGAAACAAAACAAATACTGCAACAAGGGAAGGAAAATAGTGAAAATTATGGCAAAAGTCTGTCTTGAGGACAACAAACTCCCGATTTATTGTCATTTTTTAATCGTTAGCATTGCCCTTTATTAATTCTTCGTTAAAAATGGCCAACGATCGGGAAGTTTTGCGTGAAATTTGGGATGGGCGAATACCCGTGTGTTTCCAGCTCGACTCCAGTGAGGTTAATGGGCTGCAAGCGCCTGATCCATATTATTTGATGGTTCCCAGGCTGTCATATTTTCCACTAGTCACTGATAAGGTGAGGAATGCTCCGAAACGGCTGAGTCCATTCGGCTGGTGTGTTGCCAACGTCAACCCACGTGCAATGGGCATGCTGAGTGACACTCATGACTCACCGCTGCAGCCCATTACTGCTAAAGAACAAACGACTAGAAAATTGTGTTTTTATTTTTTGTACTCTCTACCTATTCTGGACACTGCATATTGTTCTCATTACCAAGTTATATCTTTTGTGCTTGTCACAGGTGCGGAAGCATTTCCAAAGATTTATTCACCCTGACATGAAAGAATCGGAGATGTGGATAGATTTCAATGGACAACCTCTCAAATGGTAATACATTTCGCATTTCTTCATCTGGAACTTGATAAATTTATTCCTAGTAATACACTTTTATGGGTGCTTTCTGTTTCTGTGTAGGCATTACCCTATTGGTGTCTTGTGTGATCTTCATATACCTGAAATAAGTCTTCCCTGGTGCGTAACAGTTCATTTTGACAAGTTTCCTGAATCTGAGCTATTACACTGCCCCTCAAGGTGAGTCAACAGTCTTCATTCCTAACATATTTAGCCATACAAATCAACTCATTCATCAAATGCTTTTTATGCTATTGCAGAGAAGCAGTTGAGTCTTACTTTATGTCTTGCATCAAAGAAGCTGATGTATTAAAACATAGGAGCCAGGTAGTATCTAATTTGCAGAAAAAGGACCACAACCAATTATGGCTTGGATTACAAAATGGTAATTTTCCTGATAAACCTAGTTACTTCAATTTCAGTGTAGGCTTCTCTTTGTTAAGACATCTTATACTGTATGAGATGGTTGCAGTGTCTTTCTGAGCTGATACCATTTGTTTATTACCATTTTAATTTCAGACAAGTTTGATCAATTCTGGGCTGTGAATCGAAAACTCATGGAGGTTAATAGTGAAGAAACCTTTAAATATATCCCATTTCGACTTTATCAAGGAGACAAGCCTTTCTCTCAAAGACTTGTTAAACCTATCAATGAAGAGGGCCAAAAGAAAACATTGTTTCACTTTTTACAAGAAATTTATGCGGAAGATGCTTGTAAAGGTATGCTACAGCTGTTCTTGAATTTTAGTATTTCTTAACAGTTCTCTTTGAAAGTCAGTTTAAAAATGTTCCTTTTGTTTTCTCCTGTCTTTCACAGTCAAAGTTACCACACATGGAGTAGAACCACCTCCAGATACCCCTCTTCAGTGGATGAGTGAACACCTTAGTTATCCAGATAATTTCTTGCATTTGTGTGTTGCATTTTGATGACGTCACCAAAAGCACTGTTTTAAGCCTCTTTAAAAAATTGTATTTTTGAATGTTTTTATTCTATGTGTCATGCGTTGGTGCTTTGGTACCTTGGTGTCTACTGGATTTTGAACCCTGTATTTGTTGGCTGAATTAAATCATGCATCACAGTTATGTTTAAGATTAATTTACTTTAATTTTGTCCTTCTGAAATATTTGTGACTGCTTATCTTTGTCTTATCTGAATGTTTAAAGCTATGTATTTTATTTTCAATTTTGGATCTTTTTTCTTTTTTGTTATGAGTTGAGAATCTTTACTCCAAATAGATATAAAGTTTATCAATAGGTGTCTTGTTCTCATCTCTTACTGTGTTTCTATCTATTATGAGTGTACTGCGAATCATGAAGTAATGTATTGCCAACTTTTTTAATATTCTTCTGCTGAATCATGTCTGTGTTTAACCAACATCAGCTTTAGCAATACACTGTGCATTAATAATAATATTCAGACTGATACTGTCTTGCTTTAGCAAAGTTGTTTTGTTGTGCTATGGGACTCAATTGTGTTCAAACCTTGCTAAAAAATACATTCTTATTGGACCGTTTGTTTTTTTAAGTAAAACTGTTATTCAAGCTGATGCATAATGCAGTCTTTACATTTCCCCACTACATTAGGATTATTCATGTTTAAAAATTTTTAAATGAAGAAGAATTTCCCTGTGATAATTTATAGTTTGAAAATGGGTGTATGCTCCCTGTTCAATAAACTTTTCTTGATTAAAAAGTTGTTTTGTCACTTACCAAACAAGTAACAAAACTTGTTAGTATTGTCAGAACTGAGAAGTCACCGAGAACTAACTTATTCCTTTTCTGTTTGTAAAAAATTCCAGCTAAATTTTAAGTATGATCAGATGGAACCCTGGTTTTGGGTTCGAAGTTCTGCAATGGTATAGAAGTAGTACAAGTATCATTTGGACTGAAAAAGTGTTTTACTGTCATGCTAGTTGAGTTCTGGTGACAGAATGAGGTCTATGTAAAATACATCACCTTTGCATTTCTTCTGTGTGGGCTACAAAGACTGGGGTTTTGTGGTGCATTGCGCCTCACTGGCACATTAATAGACACTTTTAAAAAGAATGTAATAATAATTTTATTTGGACTTTTTTAAACATCTTCCTTGAGTAAAAAATTATTTTTATTTTACATTTGACGTTTTGTTCTTAAAGAAAAGTCTAAAAAAAAAAAAAACAGATTTTGAACCTCCAGTACTTGCAGGAAAAGCAACAATAAACATTGCTGGAACCTGCCTTTTATAATGACTAGCATTAAATTGAGGATAAGCTAAGAACCACTCCTGTTTGTAGTTACAGAACACATGTGAAAGTATAAGTGGCAGTAAGGTAACACAACACTGTAAACCTTAAGCCTGATTACAAAATAAATTACCGTAAAGTTAAAAAAGAAACATTCATATACAATGAACACAGGGAACAAGGTTGAACATAAAACCAGGAATGATGATGTTGAGCAAAATCATGGTTGATTTGACGAATCTTCTAGACAAAACACGTGAAAATCATTGTAGAGAGTACCTAAATCATCCATTCCACCATGCACAAGAATGAACGGGAGATCGTGTTCCGAGTCCGGGCTGCCAGACTCTTCAGCTTGCCCGCCGTTCTGCGTCACTGCTTCCCCGTTGGTACACTGTGGGGTGAAATGCTGAGGCAGCCACACGAGGGTCATGGCGAAGTCCAACCGGGGTTTCGGCCGAGGACAGTCGGACTCGAACACTATCTCTTGCCACGTGCGCGATGCTTGAAAGGGAAAACAAACCAAAGGATTACTTGCATGAACAGGCAATCCAAAAACAGAAGAGGTAGTTCGATTTGAGTCGTCACTTCACTTACTGCAGTCAAACTTCCACATGTCGTCGAGGGTGCCGTGCGGGCCCAGGCCGCCGAAGATGTACAGCAAGTTGCCCCTGGCGACGGCGCCGTGCCCCGCCCTGGCGCTGGGCGCGGAGCCCTCCCCGGTGCCGGCGTCCACCAGCGTCCACTTGCCGTCCTCCAGCACGTGCATGTCGGAGAAGAACTTGTTGCCAGCCATGCCGCCGTGGCAGAAAAGCTGCCAATCAAAACACAGATTAATTTAACTTTCAACGTTTTCCACGACCACGACTTCGTTCGCACTGCACGGACCTTGGCTCCAACGCCAACCAGTATGTGTCCCTGACGGGGCGCTGGGGGGTCGCCCTTGGTGTCGACGGTGGTCCACACGCAAGTCACGGGGTCCAGCTTGTACACCGACGGGTCGGCCACGGGGCTGGCCGCCTGGTTGCCGCCCCCGAAGAGCACCAACTCGCCCTCCACGTCTGCAAGGAGGAAAACTTTGAACACGGGCCGAAGGAAAAAGAAATGCACCAGTTTCTTGATACAGCGCTGAGGCCTGTCTCTCACCTGCGGTGGTCGTGTGCATGGTCCGCGGGGCGGGCACGCTGCCGGAGTTGTCCACGAACTTCCACTCCTCCGCGGCCACGTCCAGCTCCCAGAGGTCGTTGAGGTTGCCCTCCATGTTGGCCCCGGCGAACACCCAGATCTTGTCCAGCACGTCCTGCGGGGGCGGCAGGAAGGCGCAGTGCTCGTAGCGCTGCGGGGGCTGGCCGACGGCGCCGGGGTTGGCGGCGGGGCCGGGCCTGGGGCCGGGCCGCAACAGCGTCAGCGTGAGCCGCTGCAGGTCCAGCTGCCACACCTCGTTGTACAGCGCGCAAGGCGACGCGCCACCGATCAGCAGCACCTGTCGGACAGAGGACGCGGGATGCGGGTTCAAACCCTCACTTTTGCCTACTTTTTTTCGCCCGGATCCGCGGTCTGACCAGCAGGAAGCCCTCGGCGACGCCGCATGCCGTGGAGAACCTGTTCCACTCCCAGCCGCTGGCCGCGCTGCCCAAAGTTCCGCGGCCGGTGCCGCAAACGCAACACCGCAAAAGCCAAAGGCTGCGCGCTGCAAAAGCTAAAAGCTACCCCTGCATCACGCTCCATGCAAAAGCATGAGCCGCGGCGCAGACTTGTCGCATTATGCTGATTACCTTCTTCCTCCGGGGCAGGTACGAGGCAGTGTGCCCGACGCGGGGCTCCGGCAGGGCGTTGGCGGCGCCCGGAGCGCCCGGAGCGGCCGGGGCGGCCGGAGCGGCTGCGTCACCCGAGGCCGGCGGGGCCGGCGCTGGCGCGACGGCCAGGGTGGTCGTGGCCAGGGAGTACCACTGGCCCGGCCGAGCCCTGCCCGGGGACAGGGCGTGGGGGCCCTGCCCGACAACCTGCTCGACCTGCATGGCGGACGCGGGGAGCGGTGCGGTGTGGCGGGGTGCGGCGGGGTGCGGCGACTGGCTCCGTGATCGGGGTCCCTTACGACATGTCACTGGACCGTGCACACCGTGGAGCCCTGCTTGGCCGGCTTGCTGGCGGGCTTGGCGTGCCCGGCGTGCAGCACCACCGTCTGCGCGTTGCCGTAGTTGTGGACGAGGCGGGCGCGCCGGTTCTGGCCGAACAGCAGGTAGTTGACGTCGGCGCCGGACGCGCGCAGCTCCTGCAACAAGAGTGAAACGTCGATCAGAAACAAAGCCAACTCATTTTTTCCAACGGTGTCGCTGAACGTGCTCGTGCACGTGGGTCCGGTCCGGGTGCGCGACGTGGCGAGGGACGTGCGGATTCGTGCACCGCGGCACGTACATCGATGTGCGGCAGGCAAAGGCGCAAGTGCCTAGTAAGCAGTGCGCGGTGACTCAGGGGCTGAGCCGACGTCGCTGTGTGCGAGCGCGTGCGTGCGTGTGTGTGCGTGCGTGTGTGCTGTCGTTGCTGAGATAAAACGAAAAGACAACAATCGCCGCACGACGGACGACGGCTAGACGACGGCGGGTGCAGTGCTGCTGTTTGCATCTTTCACTCAGGCCGGCGATCGGCGCGAAAGATTAGCGAGTGCAAAACACGCGCGACGCGCGGTCTACTCGGCGGGGCGGAGCAGGAGCTGCCGCGCTCCGCCACTGCAAGCGTCGCCAAAGAGCAAAGAGCTTGAACCACCTTGAACACCACCAGGGAGGTGTCCTGATAGCGGGCGTGGATCTGGTGGCGGTCGAGTGCGGGGCCCGGGGCGACCGAGGCGACTCCCGCGGGCATGCGGGGGGCGTCGTCGCGGGCCCGAGACCCAGGGGCTGTGGCTGGGGCCTAGCCTAGGTAAGGGACCGCCCCAGCCGCTCCTGAAACAGCAAAGCACGCTGCGTCGAGTGTTTGGAGGAGGTGGAGGTTCTTTCTCCAGTCGCGGTGCGGCGGCAAGCGCCTGGTGGGTAGGCACCGCGCCGCGCGCTCCTGCCGGATGGGTTGCCTGCACGCCAGGCGCCCAGCCCAGCCACGACTGTGTACTGTGCTGTGCACACCACTGTGCGCCACCAGGGTGCGCCACGCCAAGCACGCCACGCCACGCCAGTCTCATTATCGGTCGCGGCGGCCGGCCGTTGGCCACCCCGATGGCGAAGGCGAAGCATGGCGAAGGAAGGCGCTGGCCGCGGGGACGGCGCCGAGCCGCCGCGCGTGGAAAGGATTTCACGCCGACAATCCGGCGGCGGCAACTTTCGACAGCTGTGTCAAGTTAGGCGAAACAGCTTGCCTAGCCGCTGCCGATATTGGAGCGGTAGCGGCCCACACCTGCTAACGTCCCGGCCATGCCATGCCATGCCGGCCGTGCCTAGCCTCGCGCCGAGCGTGGCGTGGAGTGGCGTGGCGGGGCGCCGCGGCGGCCCGTGACTCACTCAACGCGTTACGTTGAGGTCCCTGGGACCCGAGACCTGGTCCCCCGCCGCCGTGGCCCGCGTGCATGTTAATGACCAGGTTCACCTCAGCCCACAAAGAAAGGCAGATAGCTGCGCCGCGCCCCGCCCCGCCGCCGCGCCCCGCCACGCCGCGACACCGCGCCTTCCTCCTTCCTGGCGTTCGCGGCCCACGCGATGCATAGCGGTGTTTATGTCCGATTGGCGCCAAGAAGCGGCGCGGCGCAGATAACCTTATCAGCCAGGATCCTTTCCTTCTTCGGTTCAGGTGACGCCTGGCCTGCGCCGCGGCCCGCGCGCCCTCTCGGCCGCCCTCGGCTTGCCCTGGCTCGCCCTGGGGTACCATAGTTCCACGCACTCGCTCCTGACCCCGGCCAAGGACGCGCCGCGCTGCCCTCCGCTGGGGTGGCTTGGTTCGCTTGCTTTGGCTTTCGCCTGTTAGTCTGGATCGATTTTTCTCCACACTACTGGCCCAGTGAAGCGGCGGCGCGATGTCGTGGTCAGGGAACTGGCAGCTCCCCCACCCCCTGTTGTCACCCCGGCGTCACCCCAGCATCCCCCGTCGACTGGTGCACGACGCACCCGTGGCTCAACCCTCGCTTGGGCAGGGGGAGTAGGAGCTGCGGTTTGCTCGGCAACTGAGCAGCTGCAAGTGTTGCATACTGTGCATACTCTGGCAGCGTTGGTGTGACTGGTTTTATCTTCAAATCCTTACTTTGAGTTTTTCTCAATGAAAAGTTAGATGTGTGTTTGAGTCTTTTTCAAGCAGTTTTAGCACCTCTGTTTTCTTTTCCTTATTCACTTTTGATTCATACTTTTCTTTTCATTTTCAATTCATGAGGGTGTGAATTTAAAAGATGGTGAAATGATAAAACAAGGTTTCAATATCAATGTAATAGTATATTTCATTCAAGGCACATATTTGTTATCAAGGCATATCAATTGGAATCACGATGTGAGACTGAATGGGTACATTTACATATTTTAAAAAATACAACCTTTCTGTTTGATCATTTACAAAGTCTTGATTGTTTGTACACATTTTCAGACCTATAAAAATTGCTGAAAGTTCTTAAGAGCTTCCATATGGCATCTACAGATATCACGATTTACGCTACAACAAAAAAGAAGTGTAGTTGCTAACCAGTGAGCAGCTAAATGCGCTTACGAAAACTTTTAGAAGACAGTAGAAAATATGGCTAACATATTTCAGAAAAAGTACAAGATCAAACTGGCTGATTTTAGAGGGCAAAGTACAGATGAAAGAAACTTGGCCAATAGGAAAGAGCAAATGTACATCATTATAAAGATGGAAAAATAGTCAGACAGGTTTGCAGAACTTATCTATGTAAAGACAGGAAGATAACATACATACAATATCTCAAGATCAAATAAATAATAAATATATTCATATATATCTTTATAATGAGTTTACTTGAAAGGTGCAGTGCACCAGGTGCCTCTGCCCATGCAGTCTTGGCAGGGCAACCAGAAAATTTAATTTTGATATAACTCTTCATGGCTTTCAATACTTTTGCAAATTTACATCTGCCTAAAGGACATCTACCTAAAGGACTAAATTTGGTTACAATTACTTATTACAAGTATTTAAAAATATATTTCTTACATACTCTTATCACAGGTTTAATTTCAAGGTTGCAGAGTCAATGGTCTTACATATGTGCAAATCTAAACCAAAAGATAGATTTCAAAAACTACATCTTTTTTCAGCAGACAGGAAATTTGATGATCAATAGCAAATCTCCTAGCATGAAAAAAAATAATAGACTTCTTGCTTATAATGAGAGTACGAGACAGTCCAGGATTATAAATGAGCAAATTGATAATTATCGTGGTCACCCTAATCGCACCTTGGGTGGCGACAGAGATACAGGAACACAGCCTGTGTAGCCTCTAGTGGCTCATCAGTTCTAAAGACTAAACAGTAATTAAGCATGGCATAAGCAGTACAGGCAGGAACTCAGTGCTAATTGTACTGCACTATGGTAAAAAAAATATATGGCCACCTTAGTTTGTACCAAAGGTTAATTCTCGTACAACTCTGCTCATTTCTATGGTACAAAATTAAACATTATTTACACAGATAAAATCATAATATCTGAGGTGAGCACAGCATATAAGAAATTTCCCCAAACATGCTATTGAGCAAGATGCAATCATCTGTCAAGAGTTACATTCTTGTGCCACAGTTGTGTGAGCAATTCCCCAGGGGGAAAAAATCAACCTTATCTAATGAATTCTTGAATAAGGCTATAAAAAATGACTTTTGAGCTTCACTTACAATAAATACCTTTTGTTCTGGCAAAATGTTAACAAATTCAGTCATGAGCAATATCATTCTTTCTTTCTCGTTCTTTGCACTCAAAACCTGCACTGGCCTCAAATACTGAGTTCTCTCTCAATGGCTGCATCATAAGCGACAAACATATCGCTGAATGATGAATACACAGCCATCAGCTACTATCCTACACTATGCTATGTCTTCCTCCTTATCACTCAATACAAAAATATATAGTATAAATAACTACAATTATGCTATACAATACAGGTACAGGGAAGATCAAAACAAGTTTTACATCAACAAACAAAAAAATATATCATCGACCAAAGTCCTTCTCATCACCGGAAAGAGTTCAACAAGAACGAGTTACTATGCCTCAGAAACTCTTCCGGCTTGAGCCACTTCATGCTCTGCTGGTGAGCGTTGTACAGGTCGAGGGTGCTAAGCTTGAGATCCACCGAGTACTGTTTGGCACAAAGGTTGAATGGCAAAGGCAGGGGGAGGGGGAGGGAGGGCATGAGGGGGAGGTTGACAGGTTGGGGCCGAAACAGCAGGGGGTGGGGGGGAAGGCCCGGGTGCGCGCGGAAAGCTTCCGTCACGTCGGCCAAAGGGGTGGGCCTCTGCAGAGCTAATGTGTTGGAGGCCTCGGACTTGACTCTGCTCCTCTTGGCCTCGGTCTCGGCGTCGTCCAGGTCTGAAGCGCTGTCGTGCTTCCTCTTGCGGCTGAGGTCGAGGCAGCCGACGTCGGAGGCGGCGGTCGCGGGGGTGGCGGGGGCGTCCTCCTGGTCATTCCAGCGTCCGAGGCGCTGCCTGTTGAGGCCGCCGCGGCTCACGGCCTCGTCGCGGAGGTCGGGCTCCTGGCCGAGCCACTTCTGCACCTGGCGGCGGTTGATGCCGAAGGCACGCGCCGTGGCGCGCTGGTTGCCCTGGCAGTGGGGGTCCTCCCTGAAGGCGTCCAACACCTCCAGCTTGAACTGCAGGGAGAAGGAACGCCGCTTGCTCAGCGTGGCCGTCGTGTAGTCCAGCGCGCTGCTGGCCTCGGACTCGGTGCCGTCGACGTCGATGTCCTCGTCGTCATCGTCCTCGTCGTCGGAGGCGGCGTGGGACGTAGGGGTGGTCTCCTGCTGCCACCTCTTCTTGATGGGGAGCGTCGGGCTGACGCTGGCGCGCGGCATGGGCACGGACACGGGGCTCACCTGCAGCCCCAAGCTGCCCAGGCCGCTCAGGTGGTGCAGGGGCATGGGGGCGGGCGAGCAGGCGGGCGAGCCGCGCGGGGAAGGCGACGCCAGGGGGGAGCTGGCGCTTCCTGTGGGCGAGCAGGCGCCGACGGCGCTAGGGACCCTCATGCCAACGCCGGCTCCAAGCAGCCTCGCCTCGCGGGAGAGGTTCAAGGCCGCCGCCGCCGCTGCTGCTGCTGCCGCCGCCGCGGCGTGGGGCTCCAGCATCATGGAAGACGTACTGCTGGGGCTGGGGCTGGGCACGGGGCTGACCACGCCGAGCAAGGGCTGTGGGGATGGCAGCGACACGCTGCTGCCGCCGCCGGGGGATGAAGGCGCGCCAATGCTGCCGCCGATGCTGCCGCCGGTGATGTTCCTCAGGTGGCTCTCCATCTGCAGCCACTTCTGGATCTGGCGCCGGTGGATGCCGTACTTGCGTGCCGTGGCGCGCTGGTTGCCCTTGCAGTCGGGGTCCTGGCGGTAAGAGTCCAGGACCTGCAGTTTGAACTGCGGCGCGAAGATGCGGCGCGAGCCCATGACCCGGCCGTGGCCGCCGCTGGGGCTTTTCTCACTGCAGCTGTCCACCCCGCGTTCACTCCACTCCTCCATCACTCCGTGCGCCATGGCACTGCTCACTCGCACTCCACACAGTCTTGTTGTAGATCACTCCACTCTCTCACTCACTCACTCGCCTGGCGCGCACTGGCACTACTCGTCACGCTAACTCGCACCTCGTACGTCCTCTCGCCAACGCGCCACTGCACACACTGACTCCAACTCGAGGCGAGGCGAGGCAGGCGGCGGGCGAGCTTGCTTGAAGCGGCACGGCGCGGCGGCGGCGCGGCTCAACAGGAATCCCTCCTCCACCTCCTCCCATTCTCAACCAGAAAAAGCCGCCCCCCACCCCGTCCCTCGCCCGCCCCCTTTCCGCCCGCCTCCGCCAAGCGCCACAAGTTGGCGTGGTGGGGGCACGGGGAGCCGGGCAGAGCCGGGGCCGGCGGCAGGGGGAGGGGCGGGCCCTGGCTCGGCTCCGCGCGCCGCGGCTGCGCTCGGACCGGCTTTGCTCGGCTCGCAGCGGCCGGGCCCCTTGCCCGCTCAGGTCCGACGCCATCTTGTCTGCGGCGGCTGAGCCCGGCTCAACCTAAGGGTGCGGGGCGAAGCGGGGCGGGCCGGGGCGGGGCGGCGATAGAGCCCCGCGATAGGAGCCGGGCAGGGGCGGGCCGGGCAGGGGGTGCGCATGCATACTGCAGTGAGTTCCTTTGTCCTTGAAGAGGCGGCAGCGGCAGCGGCACCAGTCGGACATGTGCCCCCTCCTCTCCTCTCCCGCGTCGGCTCTCCCCCACTCCCCTCTCCTGCGGCGCGGAGCCAGACAGGGTGACGCCGGCCAGCGCTCGGCCTGGCAGCGCTCCTCGCTCGCTCACGCTCAGTGGCGTAGTGGCGCCTAGTGTCCTTCGAGGAGGCGAGGGTCAACTCAAAGCGAGAGCCCGGGAAAGCCCTGCGCGCGGAGACCGGCACTGCAGGCACTCTCATTGACACGCGGCTGTCCATACAACGTGCACCACGCCGTGGGCGCATCGAATCAGCCTTGGGCGGCACATTATAAGGCGGGCCAAGCACGCACCCGGCGAACCTTCCCGGCCGCCCCACGGAGTGTCACTTGGCGCCTTGACGGAGCTGCGGGGGGAAATTGGATTAGCATGTTGGGCAACCGGCAGTGAGCGCCGAACACACACGCGGCACGACACTGCCTGGGCTAAAGACGCCCGCCAAAACGGACCATTTATTTTTCCGGTCGACTCCCGGCCCGGACGTGCATCGGCGTAGCCACGGCGTGGCTGCAGCCCGGCGTCCTCGTCCTCCAGCTCCAGCGCGGCCGGCCAGACACAGCGACGCCCGGTCCGGTCCATGCGCCGCGCCGCCCCGCCACGAGGCAGGCCTTGGGGCTCTTGGGCTGGTCGGCTGCGGCCGAGCCGGTGGCGTAGGTAGCGGCGCACGAGGGCTACGGGGCCACGGCGGCCGAGCCAGACACAGCGTCGCCTGGCAGGCTGGCTTGGCTCGGCCGCGCGGCTCGCCGAGCCGGGTGAGCCGGGCCCCCTTGCCCCCGCCCGGCCTCCTCCTCCTCCGAGCCGGGCCGGGGCCGCCGGGGCCTGGCCGCTTGCGCCGAGTGCCGAGCCTGCCAGACTGCCTGACGCCTGGATCCACTACGCCGCGCCACGACGCGCCAGCGCCCACACATTCACACTAACTTGTTGTGTCTTGAGATGTATAAATTAGTTGTTGGGCTTCAGCTTCACCGCGGCTGGGCCGTTGGGACAGGTCGCCCTGGTGAACCCGGCCGTCGCACAGTCCCAGACCCCCGGACACAGAGGTCTCCAGCCACTGCGACGGCGAAGCGCGTAGCCTGGTCGGGCAGAATGTTGAACGGCGTTCCAATGGTTGCAAGTGGCTCTGCGTTCAAGCGCCTCTCCCTCCGAGTCGGAATCTTCCAGTCGGCTTTCCAGCCACCTTCCAGCCACCTTCCAGCCGCCTCCCCGTCGGCTTCCAGTGGGTCTCCCGCCTCCTCGCTCTGCATTCCACCGCCTAGGCGCGCCTACCCCGATGACACGTGCACCACGTACGCAGCGAAAATGACGCACGATGATACTGGCGGGAATCGCGTCCCCGTGACAATGGCACCTTACCTCCCCCCCTCCTCTCCCTCCTCCGCGTGGTCACCAACACCACCTCCTCGGCGGGCCAAAAGACAACAAACCAAGTGGGCATCGACCGACTTTGTTCTTTGTTCTTGGCCGCGCCATAACAAACAAATCCATAGGAACGATGTGCGTGTGTGAGAGTGGAGCGCGCGCGCGCGTGTGTGTGTCTGCATTTCGAGTCCTCTTTGCACTGTTCGGCGGTGTTTGACGCGTTGAGCACACAAACTTCGGCACCGAACCGAGCGTGCGGCGGCAGCGGCGACCAGAAGGCAAGTGGCCTGGTGCGCGAAAACTGGATGAAAAAACAAAACCGAGAAAGCACACAAGGCGCACACGGCAAGCGGCTCGCCGAAAGCGGCCGATATGTGTCCTTGCTTCGCCGGGGCGCCGCAACGGGCCGGGGCGGGGGGAATTGGAATAAGTTAGCATGCATTTCCTTTGGGTGCTTTGGGGCGGCTCCCGTCCGGTTGCGTCCAGCCAGAGAGTCCGCGGCGCCGCGGCCAGTGTACGTCCCCACGTGCGGGGGCCCGACAACCGGGCCACTTTTATTACCGGGGAAAAAAACGAAACGAAAACGGCAAAGCGAAACCGGTGACGAGAATCCGTTTGGATGCCGCCGCCCGTGAGATAGGCAACGCGCAGCGCGACGCCGGGGGCCTCGTCGCCGCTAGTCGCAGCCAGGACGGCGACGGCGACGTGAAACCGCGAAAAGGCGCGATGATGGGCGCGGACGCGGCCGAACACGCATTCCTACGGCCTGGTTCATGCCTGCTGTCGAAAATAATCGGCAGCGCGTTTATTCGGAGCGGGCCTCTGTGCGGCACGCCGGGCACGCCGCGGCGGCAGGGCGGCCACACCTGTCTAATCAGATAAAGGCCTAGCCCGTCTTGCGGCACATCCGTCGCCGCCTCGGCCGCCACGCCCCGTCCACGTGATAGTAGCGCCCCGCCAGGGCGGCCAGCCGGTCCGACTTTACACTTTACACCTGATGCAACGCGATGCAACGCGCTGCAACGCCATCGGCAGTTCCGAGCAACGCCACTATCACGACGCGCGAGCTCCACCGCGTGTAGAATAAAATCGGGGAAGAAACTTTGGATAAGAGAAATAGTTTTGGGGCCAAAGTCAGCTCGTCCCGCACCGGCCGGCCCGGCCCGGCTCGGCTCGGCACTGCCACTTGACTCCTGGTCAGAGTCCCGACACGCCGCGATGCCGCCGCGCCGCGTCCGGCTAGGCGGCCAAAGGCCCTCGCGGCGGCCGCGGCGGCGGGGCGCACTGACCTGAGGCAACGCCAGACACTCAGACACTCGCGGCACCGCGGCACTTGATGTCGAATAAGCGCGCAATCATTACTTTGCGCCGCCTGCACCGACACAAACACAGCGACGCGCCGATCCAACGGGCGCGGCGCGGAAGGCGAGGAAGGCGCGGAACAACAAGAAGGGGAACAAGTGGAGCACGCGGCAGGTGTGCCATCCGCGACTGTACAAAAGCAACCGCGGCTCGTCCAGGCCGTCGCGCACGAATTTTAGCAGCGTTTATGCTATGCACGCCACCGTTTCTGGCGAAAGCCAACCAGAAAGCCAGAAGGCGGTGCTCTCTCACGGTGCGTGGAATTGCCGTGGCACATACAGTGTGGCACACAGTGCGGCGATAGGAATGCGCGGCCCACATGTTCCACGTGTTTCACCTGGCGGGCCTTGTTCGCCTTTTCGGAAGCAGGCTGTAAGCAGGCGAGGCGAGCGGAGCGGGCGGGGCAGGGCTAAGTAACGTCCACTCACAACAACGAGGACAACAAGGGGGCCATAAAGTGACAACAACATTGCGACGACGGATGGGCAGTGGATGTGCACCACGTGTGGCACAGGTTGTCGTCCGCGCCGATTCTGCAAAAGCACGCCCGTCAGTCCGCCTGTCCGTCCGTCCGTCCGTCCATCCGTGGCCGCGCGGCATGTCCGCCGGATTGCAAAGAGATTCAACAAGTATTGTCAGATTTATGGGACGCAGGGCCGACATGTGCACTGCGCTGGTGCTGCAGTGCTCAGCGCGCCCCGCCCGCCGCTGACCTCTGTCCACGGCCAAACACTAAGGGTCTAATGGCACTTGTGTCCAGGATTGGAATTGGAGGCGAGGTTCAAGCCGCGGCGATAAAACAGGCGCGGTCACGTTCACGATCGACGGTTCGAATACTGGCGGCGGCGACGCGGAGAGGTGCGCGCTTCTTTTTTCACCCCCGCCGCCTCGGCCACCGCCTTTCCCCTTCTCTCCTGACTCCGGACAGTTTCGCCGCTCTGTCTCTCTCGCACCGGCGCAGGACGCCCCATGAGTGCGAGAGAGACCGGCTTGGACGACGACGACGTGGCAAATTAAAAACGTAAAAAGTAAACTGAAGAAAATCTCGGCGGCGTGCCTGTTGCGCGATGCAGCCGTCGGCGAGGTGTCCTCACCGGCCGGCCTCACCGGGCCTCGGCCTCACCCCCCGCCCCGAACCGGTTGCCGTCGGTGCCGTCGGGCCGTCGGCCTGTTGGACGCAGGGGTGGCTGCGTGGGAGAATTGGGGGTGGATGGCGACGCCGGGATGCAGCGTCGCAGCGTCCACCCTTGCCGCGCCTCGCTGTTCCAGTGTGATGTTCCCACATGCGGCTCCGCGGCAAAACCCGCGGCCAGCACGGCGGAGTCCTTCGCCTCGCCTGCACGCCGATTCTCTCTCGCACCTGCACCAAACGCTCCACGAGTTGGAGAGGGACGGGGCGACAAAACTGCAGGCGTCTGCCAGCCGGTCTGGCCCGCTCGTCTGGTCCCTTCCTCGCATGTCCGTCCGTTTGTGTAAGCTGTCCGAGGAAAAGCCTGCCAAAGGCGCTCGCCGCGCCGATGGCTGGCCGAGCACGCTGGCGACGGTCAACGGGGCGGGGCCGCACGGAGCCCCATCAGCAATGACCCTGGATGAACCGGAGGCACCGGAGGACACGCGGACTTCGTGGACCTCGGGCCGGGCGGGGCTCACGGTACCTGCCCCATGTGGTCCGTGCAGTCCGTGCAGTCCGTGCCCACCCCGGTGACGAGCGGAGCAGTGGCCAGCCGAGCCACGGTGAGCCGAGCCGGGCCCTAACCTGGTTCGAAGTACGAAGGGCA